TCACCCTCACTTCACAAGGGCGAGATGGGTGGTTCTCTACATGAGGGTCCCTTGTAAGGTGCCCACAATAATACGGCACCTAAAACAGACGCGACTAGAGGGACCCCGATTTGGAGAACTACCCAGATCAGTTTGCAAGAGTTCTGTGAAGCTGACCCAAGACAACCTGAGGGTAGTTGAATTTAACCTAGTCTTTAGCCACTAGTCACAGTCACAGGTGGAGGAGGTATCCTCATTTCCAGGATTTGTCCCTGAACAGGCTATGACTCTGCATCCCGCGTGCACAGGATATTCGAGGGCGGAATGCTCCTGGCTTAGCGTTTTCTGAGAGCAGCCTTTTCGAGTTGGACGAAGAACATGCCTAAGCCTCCATGATTCGAGGATCGACAAATGGAATTCGACGCAAATCGCCAACGGCCTCCCGACATGGGTAGTGCGAGTTGACGATCCTTGGCAGAAGCAGGCGACATGAATCAACTGTGGTGGAACTCAAAAATTGATCCAGGATGTCATCGTCGGCATGAACGGACGACATGAGTTTACGCCAACAAGTGCGGAGGCCACTGTAAACCCGTGATTATCCAAACTTGCTAGAAGTATTTCTGACGGTCGCTCTGGCAGGAGTAAGGCAGGACTTGTTTGGATTGCCCGACACACATGTTGCCCCCTGGTCACCGGCAATGTGAGTCCTGCCCATTTCATTTCTGAGTTCGGCTGATAACAGGTGCGGACGGTACCCTAGCTGCACCTTGTGTTTGTTTCTGTGTATGATTCTCAAAGTGTTTCGCAGTGGACCAGGCGGCCCTGCTCGTTCAGTTGGAGGGTGCGATGATCTCAGGCTACCATGCTCAACCTTCTGATTGTTCGCGGCTTCTCCTGCTGCAGTTAGTGCGAGGACTGTCGGGTCTCCGACACGATGTCGGGATGGTTGTCGTAAATCGTGATTCGGGAGCGAAGCCCAACTTCATGGCCAGCCGCAGACTCTTTCCATGGAGATTTAGCAGAGGTGAAGTTAGAAGCGAGCAGCAGGCTGCTGTCACTAGGCCTCCACACGACAGCAGCAGCCTTGTAGAGAGTCAGCAGGCTGTCCGCCACCTTGGGAGAGCTTTGCACAGCTGAGGATTGCCGTCATACATGGGCGCTGATGTGTAGTGACGCTCTCAGACGGCTCTGCGAATGCGCCGACATTATGCTGCGCTCTTACTCTTGCTGGTAAAACTGTTGGGTACCGCAAGATTTCCGCACAGATCTCCACAAGATTCCACAAGACCTCCTGCGAGGCTGACAAGCCTGTTTGTGTGTAGTTGGCGCGGGAACAGACCTGCCTCAGAATCCAGCGCGATCGCTCGGTGGATGGCAAAGGCTTCCGTGGGCCCCGGGCCACCTTCGTCGTTTCTGCGCGTGATGACACAGGGCCTAGGGGGGTCAGTCTGCGATCGGTCGGCCACGTCGAGGGGGAAGCTCGAATGCCAGAAATCAAGCCCGAATCACGAACTGACGTCTAGATTCACATGATCGTTTCCTGGGGTCTTTCCTAGGACATAAGCAAGGTTCGATCACACGCGGTAGTGATTGACCCTTTGCTGCTGCGACGTGGCCTTCGAGGCCGAAGTCGATGGGATTGCGCAGGATGCCAAAAGTCGGTGAGCTTGTGTGTCGGCAGAGTTCTCGGCCCAGTGCACGTCGTGGCGCACGTTATTTGGGGTTTCAGGGTTACATGGGGTTTTAGAATGAGCGTACAGGGTTAATTTAAGGTTTCGGTTCTGTTTAGGATGAAGGGTATATTTGCGGTTTAGGATTCATTCGGTTTGGGGTTTAAGTCTGTGAAGGTGGTCGTGCACAAAGGCTCGGGTGTAACTTGCAGCCCCACACAAGTACACAGTGGCCGTCGAGTGAGGGAACCAAGCTCGAAACTCCTAAACCTGCTTTTTGTCTATTACTTGACTTGTTGTTGTGCATTAGTTTTTTCTCTCTCTCTCTCTCTCTCTTTCTTTGCAGCGGAGACAGAACTGTGCGAAGCCTTGGCGGCCTTGTGCGAGCGCGAGAGGTCCCAGTCCCCAAACCTAAATCGAGCTCATGAAGCCTCCGACCACTGCTTAATACATTTGGCCTTGGTTTCAACAAATCTGGAGCTCAATTTCGTCCGTCCTTCTACCACGAAACCTAACCCGAAAATCGAATTGAAAATGCTTTAGTTTGAACTCCACAGCCGCGTACTACCCTTGCACACACGCTGGCCCCCAGATCCAGAACCGCGTGCAACCCATCCAAACGCGCGGGCCGCCCGCTCTACATGCCGCGTGCCACCCACCCAAACCCGCACACCCCCAGCTCCACAGCCGCGTGCCACCCATCCAAGCTCCAGAACCGCTTGGCCCCCATCCCAACCCGCAGCCCCGCACGGCCTCCACCCATTCCTCCAAACCTGCGCCCCTAGCGCCGCCCATCCAAACCCCCGACTCTAGTACCACCCATCCGGGTCCGCATCCAAACCCGCGTACTCCCAGCTCCAGCCGCGTGGCCACCCATGCAGACCCCCAGCTCGAGAAACGCGTGCCACCCATCCAAACCCCCGAACCCCCACCTCCAGAATTGCGTGCCACCCACCCAAACCCGTAGGTCCGAAACCACGTGCCGCCCACCCAAGTCTGCGATAGAACCAGGGGCCAGCCATCCCATTAGGCGTATTTTTATTTATTTTGAGAAGAGGATCCGAATAATTCTTATTTGAATAAGAAATTGAAATATTATATCTAAGATCTGATCCCCAACCCCTCCAATCCTACTAATCCCAGAGAGCGATATTTTTTTGAAAAAACTTGTCTTATAATTATTTTTTTATGAGATTACTTTTGCGGTAAGGATTTCTTTTGAATTTCTAGAGAATTTGCGTACACTCTATTCTCCCAAAGCATATGAAAGGATAATGCCTCGAAATATAAGTCTTTTTGAATAAAAATTTCCGAGAAATTTGTAGTCTCGGATTTATTATCTTGCTTGATAAAAAAAAAATTCTAGAAAATATTTGGAATTAATTCTTTAAATATTTTGAAAATTTCAATACCGTAAATATCTGGAAAATTTTAAAACTGGATCTAAAATATTTATAAGTTTCACTACTTGTCCTAATTTATGATTAAATTTTGATACTGATCTTAGATTAAGGTATATATTTTTCGACTTAGACCTCGGAAATAGGCTATGAAATAATAACTCGAAATTGCGCCATGATGGGGACGGGGATAAGATATCGTCATTATATTTGATCCCGATTCGGATTTCGTCTTTATTATTAATAGTATAATTATTATCATTATCATGAGCGTCATTGATTATGGATTTCTTTGGAGTACGAAATTTGGACGTTGAAATAGTGATTTGTTCTTTTAAGATTGGTCGCGCTGATTGAATATTTACTTAGCTCTTCAGATCTTCGGCTCGTATTAGTATTGGACTTGGAGCTGGTAGCGGGTTTGAGTGGTCAATTTGAAAAAAAATTCAAAATGAAATTCTCTATATATCTTATGATATTAAATAAATATCGAAATCTTAATATTGAATATAGCCCATCTAGTTATTTTAGAAGTCAATTTGATTTTCTTTGAAAATACAGATATGATTAATAAATATATTTAATGTGAAAATATATGAATATCAATTAGAAGGAGGTCTTATATCTATAGATCGATATCTCTGCCTTTATTTTATATGAGAATAAATCATAGATAGAGAAGCGATTAATATGCAATCGAATTACTTGAATATTATTTGAATAATTTGAAGATCGATTATAAGTCTTCATAGTCCAAGACCAAGTAAGAATCTTTGTCCGCGAGCAGGATAATGAATTAGGATTAAAAAAAAACAAATCTTGGGTCTCTAATAATAATTTTCTTAGTCGAAATACAACCCTAGATTTCGATCTTGACGACGGCCTATACTTCATTAGTGATGAGACATCTTTATTTTTCTTTAGGTATAGATTCGTCTTTAAGCTTAATCCTCAATGCCTAGTAAGAATCGTTATCAAATATCCTTGCCCCGGCCTCGCTTACTCTTTTAATAAATTTATTAAGAATCACGATAGAAATATCATCCTAATATTCTTCTTCCCGAAATAAGAGAAATATAGAAAAAATATTTAAGAAGAAATATACCCAAAAAGTCGAAATACTAAATATCAAAATACCCACTATTAAAAAAATAAATAATTAATATAAATACTCAATATGATATTATTTTCCCAGAGAATTTTATAATAATAATTCATAGAGAGAATTATACATTATTGAAATACATATAGAAGAAAATTATTTATTTATAATTATGATTTTCGTTTTCGATTCCATTTGCCATAGAATTAAAGAGAAAATATCTAAATATCAAATATACGAATTTACCTAAAATATTGAAATCTTTTTAGATTGAGAACGTTGTAATTTGAAGAAATCGATTGATTTACGAACATTCAAATAAAGGAAAAGCAACACCCAAGAGCTCGCGTTCTTCTTTTGCGTCGTTCGCTTATCCTATGTGAAAAGCTTTGAAAAGACTGGAAAACGGAAGCTCCCTTCTGCTTAGCAGGCTGCCCAAGCAGGTCGAGGGAGTTCCAAAGTCTGCTACCCTATGAATTGGGGTTTAGGGTTGTGTTTGGGGTGTAGGGTTGCGGGTCTGTCACAACCGAGGATATCAACAAGACGATAGTCGTGGCAAAAGGGGGCCCTGCTTCGCAGGGGCCTTGGATCCACAAGCTTGCACAAGCAATGGAGTACTGGGAAGATTTTCGTCAAGGTCCAAGACTCCAGCTGCCAGATCTTCACGCTTCGCGTGGATAATGACAGCGCATAGCAACTTTTCAGAGGACTTCGGAAGTTGCAAATTGGGCCCTCGAAGTGGACACAGAGGCTCTGCCTAAAAGAAGAAGCATGTTCCATGGACAGAAACGCTGAATGCAGACCCCACCCTCCCGGGACAAGACTCGATTGTCCGCCAAGGTGCACTTAGAACGCCTCTTCATGTACTTTCAAGGCATCAACGCTCTCTTCCAGCGTCGTACTATGGCTGTCGTTGGCAGACTCTTTCAGCCCATCCGAGGCCGTCATCTCCTCATCGTCGCCTCCTAGCAAAACAAGAATGCTCAGACACCACAGTGTCACAGAGGAGTGTTAAATACCCCAGCATCTTGGGCATCGTTGGCAAAAGTAAAGGTTCAACGACCGCGGCTCTTGCTGCGACTTGTTGTCCACATGTTGGGCGCTCAGGATTCAGGGTCTGGCATGTTTCTGCCATCTGCTAAACCAGGGTGCCTTCTTTGCCCGCCAGCTTGGAGGACACAGACTTCAACGCTCCACTCTGCAGCCGCCAGGCTACCTCCAGGGTCGAAGGGGCGGGATGTGTCGGCAGCGCAAGCTTTCGGGATTTCAAGGCACCAGGCACGCCTACTTACTAGCCTAGTTTGCCTCGAAGACACTACGGCTGCAGAAGGATACATCACAAGTAAACTATGGAGAAATGCATACATTGGGTATACCGAATTGCCTCTACTCCACAACAATGCGTTGCTCTGTACCAGACCGTTCTGCTTGAACAACCAACGACAGCTCCACACAAACATGCATGACCAAGTAAATGTACGTGCAAACAACACATACATGCATGTACAGAGAGACTCAGGAAGATACATGGAGCCATGCTTGCATGAATGCATGTTCGAGCGTGGAGACATGCTAGTGACTGCTAGTGCTGCAAATGCTACAGAGATCATAGTCATAGCACATGTTGCACTGGCTTCGACTTGGTTCGCAACTCTGCCTGCTTGGCCCGGAGCTCCAAGTCCTCCTGCGTCGAAGAATAGTTCCTCAGGGCAGCAGAATGACGCCTCGCTTCATTCAGCCCTTCACTCCAGTGCAGTCGAGCTTCTGGGGTGAGAAGACGACTGCGATTTCCTGGAAGACTGTCTTAATCACTCGGACGTAAGTCCGGAGGTCCACCTTCTCAAGCTGAGAGTAGGAGGAGAGGTCGTCGTAGAAGGACTGCGTTGGAAAACGGAACCCATCTTCCGCAATGATCGGTAGTATGGCGCAGGAGTCTATCTGGCTCACCTGCAAGAGCCACTGCGCCATCTCACATGACCTGAAGCATCCGTCTGAGCATATTACGAGCGCAGACTTGGCCGTAGGTGGGAGGTCACGGCTTTGCTGAAGCACTTGCGGCATCGAATTGCTGGAAGCCCCCATGAGCTTGGGCACAATTAAGGCGAGGAGGATGTACGCGGTCGCAGCTGCCTCCGGTCTCAAGATGTGTCTGCCGGCACACGCACACACTCACACACAAGAGCATCGTTGAACACGTGATTTGGCCTTCTTGCATGCCCCGGACCCCGTTAACATCACGCGGCACACCAGCACTCCCTGATGCATCACATCAGAACTCATGCGGACGTATACTCTTGATTCAATGCACGTTTGAAGAAACGACAGTAGCTGGCACCTTGATTACACTCACTTTCAACCGGTTGCTCAAGGAGCCACGGCGGCTCCACTCCTCGCGAAAACATGGGCTGCACATGTCGATGTTGAAGGCCAAAACAACCGTGATGATTTTCATCGATTGTCCCTGAGGAATGGAAGCTTGGAAGTGCCACTTTTACGGACAACGGTGTTGAACACTAGCAAGTAACCAGATTTCCAAGCCAAATCCCGAAAAGAATCGAGGCTTCTCTCGCGTCCCGAACTTCGCACAAAATGCATTCAGCGAGTTGATGCAGCTCGAGCTTGTTGGTGGCTGTAGTTGTTGGGGGAACTGTCGCTTTCCATGGCTCGATCTTCGATGCAGCGCATATGCAGCTCGTTGTTCTTGCTTGTTTACAAGTCGGGGCTGCTAACATGCCCCTTTGTCTTCTGCGTGTTCACCGCTTCGGTGGGAAGGGTCTCACCGCCCTCCGAGCTGTGCGAAGGCTGGGATTGCTGGCGCGTTATATCTCGATTCGGAGTCCCCCCATGGTGCTGTTTTCGTCGCTTCTCTGCCGCTCACCTGTCAGTGCAGCTTCCACGTCTGATCCGACGACTGCTTGTCTTGCGCTACTGTGACGACCTACAAGCCCTGCTCCGGCATGCTCTCTCTTCTAGCTGTTGTATCTGCAACTGCAGTGAACAGCCATTGTCCCGCCTCCATGTTCTCCAGGTCCGCCAGGATGAGACAGTCCGGATGATCTTTCTGATCACTGATGGATCGAGTCCGGCTGGTCTGTGTCAGGCCGCTGACAATCTGATCGATTGTGTCCGTGCTGAGCAAAGCCGGTACTTCCAGGGCTTCGACGGTGTTGATCCAACGCAGCGTTTCTTCCACCTCGGGCCCGTCGGGGGCGGCTCGGGCTCAGTCCGGGTCTTCTCTGGGCATATCACTTAAACAACAGCAAGCAACGGCCCCTTGGTGCCCAGCCTCAGCAATGCCGATGTTGTAGTTGGCTAACTCGGTAATGTCAGGGACAATGCTGGTGTAGTTCTCAATGAAGGTTTTGTCGGGCTTCAGGAAAGAAGGCCACATGAGCAGCACGGTGTTCACCTTTTGAATCCTGGCAGTTACCATCTCTCCCACACCTCGGTCGCTCCGGATCCTTTTCGCAACTTTGGTAGAAAAACCAAATAGGATCCCCAACCTGTCTACCGCAAGAACAATAAGAGGGCTCCTTTGTGCGGTTTCTCCAAGTCACACCACTTCCGCGTCAAGATGTCCTCAAAAAGAGCTACGGCAACCAGGGCAGGGGCTCGAGAGAGAGAGCCCTGGAGGGGGAGCACCCTCTGAAGCCAAGCCAAAACGCCCTACCCGGGGCCAAGCCAGTAAAAAAGCCTCCAAGCCATGTACGTACAGGTTTAAACACAACGAAGGCGTTAAGCCAAGGAAGGTTGCGGCTTGCTGAAGGCGAGATGTGCACGGGTTGCGCGCGCGCTACTGCGGATGTCCTGGCTGCCGAGGATGACGAAAGTCTCCGTGTCCTGTCCAACGTAGCTGAAGAGCCGTGTAAGATCATTCAGATCATCGCAGTCAACGAACGTTGTGAAACGAGACCCTCGCTTCTGCAGCTCCATCTTGAGCAGACGTGCATAGCTTCCAGCAGCCACCTTCTGGTGACAGAGGAAGAACCGGAACGGCTTCCGATACTTCTGCATAAAATGCTTCACGATGCCGTAGAGGATGGCACCCAGAATGGCGGCCACCATTAAAGATGAGAAGAGCATGCAAATCACGACTGTGATTTCGGCATCGACCTCTCCGACAAAGAGCGAGCCCATGTCCAGGATTACCAGCATGCCCGTCACCAGGACGATGTCCAAGTAGTTACACGCCATAGCTCTCCAGGGCTTGCTGAAGGCCGTCACAACCAGACTGACGTATAAGAGCAGATTCAAGCACAGCACCTTGCCCGAGGTCGAAGGAAGCAAGGGGCACAGCACCACAAGGCCATTGCGCACCAGGAAGATCACAGAGAAGACCTCTGCTCCGGGCCTAAACCGAACGAAAAGAAAGGAGCACGCCCTCACGAACTGCACGTCCGCACTTTCCAGGCGCTTCGGAAGCTCGCGCAAAATGATCCAACTGCAGAGGACAAGGAATGCGATGGGTAAAAGGCAAGCGAAGCCCCCAATCAGTGCCATCTGCAGGTGTTCGTCCCTGCCATTGCAGAAGACGCCGTGGTATGCCTGGACCGTCGAGAGTCCATTGGGATGACTGTCGCATCGGAAGGGCGCCAGAAGGGAGGAGCAGAGCGAGATGAAGAAGACCATGAACAGAGTACCCACTGTCCGCGCCAGAAGACTCAGCTGCAGGCCCTTCGCCTTACGCACTGTCAAGAACGCCGCATGGACCACCGCAGCGACCAAAAAGAAGACCAGAACCAGTAGTGTCCTGCTCATAAAGACTGCGACCCCAACTCGAATCTTACTCACGTCCACACTCTTGTCCTTGTGGCAAACTTCACCACGGGGCTCATGGGAGCAACGCAGCTGATCGATATCATGTCCTCGGCTTCTCCGCTGCATCTCCCTCACTAAACAGTAAGACTAACACTTTGTAGTTGTCGTTCTACGACTACCAGAAGCAGGTGGCCATGTCGAACGCCATGACCTCCAAGGCCACCAGAACGCTCGAGAAAGGCTCACCCCATTCGATTTTGAATTGCTGGATCACCGTGAGCTGCCTCACGTCCAGCTTGAAGGGTAGTGGACTGGGAGGCTATGGTATTCGAGTACTTGATCGAGGGACACAGCGCTGAAAGCTGTCAAGAAGTGCCGCAAAGTCCCTTAACCGTGAGACATTAGCTCCACAATTGAAGCCAAGCTGCTGCACCACGGTTACCATCTGGCCCATGCCCAGGGCAGCAATCAAAAGACTGCCGGGCTGTCTGCTCTTCTGACCCTCGTTCATGAGCACCTGGGCTTAGAGCAGGCCAAGGGGCTCTTGATCACACCGTCGCTTCACATAAATATCAGCTCAGGGCACGATGTAGAGCACAGCGATGGCGCCAATTACAAGAATCGCAACCTTGTTTGAACCCATCCCCCTATCATGCTGGAAGCGGCTCATTCAAAAGCTGCAGCTAGAGAACACTCACGATTAAGGCATAATCGCCTCCAACGCACTCCACGCACACGCCGTCCTGTTGGAACTAGCAAACTCGACTCAAAGCGGTGTCTGCTGCATACAACTCGTCGGAATCAGAGGAACAACAATTGATAATAGTTTTGCCGTACTGATCATGGTACTGTGACAGTCAGAGTGGTGGAAGAAGGGGATATTGACACTGGAAAGATGTCGTGGCTGTCATCGGTATTGCACCACCCGTCATCATCAGCAGCAGCAGCAGCAGCAGCAGCGGCAGCGGCAGCGGCAGCGGCAGAGGCAGCGGCGGCCGCAATAACAACGACAACAACAACTACAACTACAAACAACAACATCGTTATCATCATCATCATCAACAACATCAACATCATCATCATCATCATCATCATCATCATCATGAGAGGCATGACCATACGAAAACGCAATCATGTTGGCCATTGTTGGCCATCGCTGCGCAACTAGCAGTAGCAGCAGCACTGCACCAAGCAGACAAGGTGATCGTGAGTGTGATGGCAAAGTGCTGATGATGATGATGATGACGATGATGATCACGATGATGATTATTATAATGATAATGACAATCATGATGAAGATGCTGATCATGATGAGAGCGATGATGGTATTGATTATGTTGATGATGCTGGTGGTGGTGGTCGTGATGATGACGATGGTGATCATGATGAGAGCGATGATGGTATTGATTATGTTGATGATGCTGGTGGTGGTGGTCGTGATGATGACGATGGTGATGATGATGATGATGATGATGATGATGATGATGATGCTGGTGACGGTGATGATCATGATGATAGCGATGATGATGATGATGATGATGATGATGATGATGACGAGGATGATGATGATGATGGTGATAATGATGCTGATGACGGTGATGATCATGATGATAGCGATGATGATGATGATGATGATGATGATGACGACGACAGCTGGAAAGAGAGCCGCGACACTAGTCTCGACACTACTAGCCATGACTTAGACGATGCATGCATCTAGCAGGACATCTTCAACAAATACCTGCAAACAGCACCACGCCCGACCACCGCAATGAATAACTTTCGGGCGCCTTGGCATGTAGTCCAGGCAAACAGCTGCTACAGGCGATGCTGGTGGTGTCACGGCCTGAAGCACACGTGCCAGGAGGTCCGCCGGGGCAGCGCTCCGGCTGCCCGAAGCACCGGTAGATCGATCCAGGCTCTTCCAGTGGCGAAAAATATCCTTCGGGGCTGCAGTTGTGTTGAGGGATCTTCACTGCTGCCCACATTCAGTTGTTCGATGTCCTAGAAAAACCAAACGTGTCGCTGTTGTTGATGACGCTGAGCTTGCTGACAATGATGCTGCTGCTGATGATGATGATGATCATCATCATCATCATCATCACGATGACGGCAAATGAAGACGACGCCGCCAGCGATGGTACCGCTGCTGATGCTCATGCTCACGGTGAATGTGTTCGAGATCAGGGCAGTGACGGCGGTGATGGCGGTGGAGGTGACGATGATCATGGTGATGCTGGTGATGATGGGGAGAACTAGGGTTAGGATGAAGAGGAGGAGGACCGGAACGAGGAGGAATCCGATGATTTGAGCATGGTCGACGTCATCAGAATGTTGATCGAAGATGTGCATGCTTGCTCATGCAAATGCACACGCTCAGCTTGTGCTGCCGCTTCACGACAAGCTCATACTCGGCACAGCATGTACTCCTTCTGCAAGTATGAGGACCACCAGTGCGGTAACTGCAGGATATTGTTATGCCTGCTCCCCTGTTCTGCGCTGGTTGCTGTGTTGCTTCTGACTGCATGTGCTGTAGGCTGATCTGCGAGTCGAGGCAGCACTGAAGCACTGCAGAGGCTACAGGACTCACCATCGTCTGAGTTGCTGCGAGAGATCAGACACGATCAAGATCAACCTCCACATTGCCACCCGGTCAGGGATTCAAACCACTGCACGTGATATTCACTCCACCAACTGCAACTGCCTAACTCCCACGAATATCCGACGCCACTCACCCAATTGTCACGGCCGAGCATATTGTGCTTGAGCCGTCGCGCCGCACTCCAACGCGACTGCCGGTCCTGGAAGCAGCTCGATTCGGCTCGATCCACTACAGATGGATCCCTCGTCACAGGGCCGGCAAAGCCCATCGTGGTAGTATGTCCCCTCCACGCATCCACAGTAGGACTCTGAGACTGCCCCCTGCACTGGAATCCATGCTATCTCTCCCTGACTCATCACCGCTTTGCTAGTCGTCCATTGATCCATCTGGGTGGTGTTTGCGCCACACTTGAAACAGGCAGTCATACCTGTGTCGTTGGCATATCCACCCAGGTCACATACGCTACACTCTCCGGCACCAGTCCCGTCGGCAAATCTCCCGAGCTCGCAGGGAATGCAGGTGGACTCGCCAGGCAAATTCTGGAAGGTGCCTGACCGGGCAGATCTACGTGTGTTCGTTAAAAAACTGAGACTCATGGTGACGCATGCCTTCTAATCTAGTTCAATGCAGAACTACCATAGGCAAGACCCCTTGTGCTATCGAACTGTGTGGCCTTCTGCACACGGCAGGCACACCCGTGTGGAGCCCTGCTCCATTGAGCTGGTTCCCACTGGGCAGACCTCCGACATGTCGACATGCTCTAGGACTCTAGGGCGCTCCCTGCTAGTAGTATGCTTATGGAGCAAAGTATTCGACGAAGACAACTTGCGGGACGGGGGTTCTTCCCATGGAAGCTTTCCTGGCCTGGCAGCTGACGGCCAGCGATCGGTCCAGCACCTGAGAGTTTCTTTCAGCGGCATCTTTGGGAAGATCGCTCAAGGGGGCCTGCTGCCTCTCGCTTTTGGCTGAGGAGGTGGCGAGCTCACCCAAGGAATTCACCAGTCCCCTTCCAGAAGCGCATGCCGTCTCATTCGGCAGCCAAGCCATCCACACGGCTGAATTTGCTTTCAGCCAGTTGCATGCCGTCTGCCAGGGATCAGGAGGCGTGGCGGAGAGGTGCTGCACCAGAATCGAAGAAAGCTCGTCGTCGGCGATGAAGAGGTTCCTTGCAACCGCCACCGCCCGATCTGCAATGGCTTCCACACCAACCGCCTGGCAAGCAGCAACTCTTCACGCAGAAGGGAAGAGGGCGGGGCTTGCGGCCCAGCAGCTGCCCAATTGGTCAAGTCCACATTCTCCCGCTGGGTCTTGAAGATCTGGTTCGCGTACTCTGAGGGGCTGTTGGGTGGAAAAATGACCTGCGAAGGATTGTCCAGGGTGAACTTGGTATCAGGCGTCCACCAGTAGAGCAAGCTTTGCAATTGACGATTCAATGGGATGTAATAGTCGACGGGCGTTCGCTGCGCCGTGGCAAAAGCCAAAGGCATGTTGTGGAAGAATGCTTGTTGGATCATCTCCTCAGAAGAGCACTCGCTGAGCAAGACCGACTAAGCATCTGCAACCACAAGCGAAGCAGGCGAAGCAACACTGTCAAGGAGCAGGCCATCCCCATCCCGGACCACCGGAGACCACTGTGACGCAACCAGAGATGTTGTGCCGGCAGGCAGGTGCTGGCCACCACTTATCCTGCCAGCACTTGAGCACGGTTTTGCCGTTTACCTCCTCCACGCCATCGACCTAACAGAGAGGGTCACAAGTGAAGCTGGAAGAAAGAGATGTCTTGCAGTCCATATCCGCAAACGAGCCGTCTAGGGCATTCACGTCGCCAGTGGCACCGAGGTACACCGCAGCAATGTCGGGAAAGTAGCCCTGATGACTGGCTGGGTCAATACATGATGCCACCCCCTGCTAGGCCTGCAAATGTCGATCTATCGCACTTGATGTTGGCTTTGCTCGCGCTACGCGAGACGAAGTTCGGGTGAATCACGCTGAGACAGAAACAGCCTGGCCTCCACGCTGTCACCGCAAGTCTGCAGCTGGTCCAGGCTCACGTCTGCAACCACTGCGGCATACAGAGCGGGATTGTACCATGTGGCATTGTAGGAGCGGTAGTACTCCAGCCTTTCCGGACAGATGCTTCGAGTGCTCTGTGGCCTTGTGAACGCAACGGCTACGGACTTCAGTCTATGTCCATGCCGAGGAGCGCGAGACCTCGCTCTGTCAAGGCTTTCTGCACGGCCTGGTCCAAGATGAACATCCCTTCCTTGCCAGGGTAGCCGATGCCTCGGTCGGCTTTCTTTTCGTCTGCTTCTACTTCGCAAAAACCCTGGAATTCTCGGCTTCTTAGTTGCAGCTTTATTTTACCAGAGGCGGAGCGGCTCCCGAGGTTCACCGGCGTGTAGTCGCCCATCTCTGCCGCCCAGGAGCTCCACCAAGGCCTGCATGGAGGCCGTGGAGGGGCCCGGAAGGGCTGCATCGAGGGCAAGACTTGACTAGAAGATAACAAAGGCGAAGGCGACTCCGATCCAACCGAGTGCTGGGCGAGTTCGCGTACCAGAACTCTAGGGAGATATGGTAACCTCGGGTGCGAGAGCCGTGAGCTGACGTGGGGTCCCCCGCACGGCCCGACGTGCAGATCAAACGAGCTGCCACTAAGGTTAGGGAGAGTTGAGAGCATGGTGGCCCACGCACCATGCACACCAGTTCCCAAGGTTCTGTAGTTCCAGCGCTGCCCCTGATCAATTGCCAAGCCGCGACGAGGAGGACCGCAATTCCCCAGGCTCGTCATTTCAATCGGATCATGATCGCACCCGGCAAGCTTAAACACCTAGCCGTTTGATGGCTCATTCAGCAAGATACATGTCCGCATTGTGGTGAGGCCTACAGCTCTCAGATTTGTTTTTGTCATCGAGCCTGTATTTTGCTGACACTTCCGAAGTCCATCAATGTGTTGTAGCCCAGCCGCTCCTGATCAAAACTGCACCAAGCCTTGCGGTTACCCCCGTCAATTAATATGAACTGCATTCCCCTTTTGATGCCCAGAGTCTTGCGCAATGATTTCGTAGATCTTGCTCACGATCGTGGAGGAATCAAAGGAGGAAGTCCAGATGCCAAGAGGCATCGACTCCCCATCTACTACCACATTCTGTCTATCCGCCTCTGGAATTGCATCTGGCAGACATGTCGTCACGCCGACGACATTCCCTGCTGAAAACAGCAGAAGTAACGCCTGCAGGAGGCGGCGCATTGCGGCCGCTAGACCGTAACTTGAGCCATGGCCTGCAATCGCACGACTACTCTGACCCCACGGCCAAATGACAAGAGCGGCTAGGCAAGATCGGCGGCACTTGACCTTTTCGGAGCTGCAAGCGACGTTTCCTGCCTAGCGACCTACGGCAAACCAGAGGCCAGACCCCAAGAGAAGCCCTCCGAAAGGGGGTCCCGGAGAAGCACGACTATCGAGCACTACCAAGAAGGCTCAAAAGGGTGTGGTAAATACTCACAATAATTCTCACAGCACCTATTCAGCTGCTTCAACTGGTTCAGCTGCTTCAACCGGCTCAGCTGCTTCGTCTCCAGCAGCCTCCAGTGGCGGCCCCTGCCGGCAGGAAGCAACACCCCACCGCGGCTTCCGGTTCTTCAACGGTATGACAGTGCAAGTCCTATCCACCTTTCGTTTATGCCAGCTATTGGCAGGGCGACCCACACAGCTTGCCCATTCCAAAAGGTGGCCTCTCCCCACGGTGCCGGCAACTTGGCCACTCCTGGCATCCGAGTCAGACATCAAGAATGTGAAAGCTTCTTCGAGGTATGCAATCGAAACTGCAACCATAACAGCAAAAGAAACACAACACAAACAACACGTAAAGGAGCTACGAGTACAGTGCTGGTTTTGCGACAAGCAGCAGCAGGAGCAGGAGCAGGAGCAGAAGTGGGAGGAGAGGAGGGGGAGGAGGAGGAGGCGTAGCAGCAGCAGCAGCAGCAGCAGCAGCAGCAGCAGCAGCAGCAGCAGCCGCAGCAGCCGCAGCAGCCGCAGCAGCCGCAGCAGCGCAGCAGCCGCAGCAGCCGCAGCAGCCGCAGCAGCCGCAGCAGCCGCAGCAGCCGCAGCAGCCGCAGCAGCCGCAGCCGCCGCAGGCAGCCGCAGCCGCAGCCGCAGCCGCAGCCGCAGCCGCAGCCGCAGCCGCAGCCGCAGCCGCAGCCGCAGCCGCAGCAGCAGCAGCAGCAGCAGCAGCATTAACGGCAGCTTATGGCAAGCACGTAATTTGCATGCATCAAACCTATGTGTGTATGTGTATGTGTATATGTATGTGTATAAATATGTGTGTGTATATATATATATATATATATAAGTATGTCTGCATCTCTCGCAGATTGTTCTTGGGAACAGATGACAACCAGTAAGTGGAACACTCTCCGACCAACAAAAGATTTGGCACATGCCTCAAACAGCATTCACTGGCGCAGCTTTACTTACGCCTTCACCTCTGACCCCAAGTTGACATGCTCTGAGCGACTGCTTGTCTTGTGGAACCCGCATTGCTTGATGCAAGCTTTCGCTTTAGATGACCATCAGGTTCCCCGTGCCGATTAGGCCCAAGCCTGAGCAATGCACGCTCTACGGTGGAATCTTCCAAAAGTTAACCTTAGGAAGATGAGAGCACCTGGACCGTATCTGTCCATGATTGTCTTTGGCTTCGGCACCTGAGGCTCTGCAGTGTCTGAGACTTGGGTCGCGCAGTTCTTTCTCAGGTGCCCTAGGCAGCTGCTTGCAGCCCGGGCCACAGCGGTCTCCATCCACTCCTCGTAGCCTTCGACTTTGATGCCGGAGGCCACGGCCGTTCCATGCACGATCTTCATGGCTCGGGTGATGTCCTCGCAGGATGCTCAAGGCTCTAGAAGCCTTAGAAGCCTTGTCCCTTTTCCGGATCAAGGGCAGAGGGATCATTTGTAACGGATCGAGCCGTGATGCGCACCGGATCGGGGGCCGGGCGCCCGGTCCGGAGAAGCACGTATCACATCACGACCCTCAGCCCTTGATCTGCGTGGCACAATGCCTCCTCTCGCCCTTTGACTGCTGAACCCGCCGCGGCCTCGCAGTTCAAGTCCGGCAGCTTCATCTTCGCAATCTCCTCCAACTTTTCGACGGTGATGCTGCCGATGATGTCTGTGCCTGGACGGTGGAGCTGTCGCACGGTCCGCCGCAAGAGCGTGCATGTGCATGCATGGGTGTGGTAACTCTATCCCGACAATACAGTACGAAGCAGCGGGCACACTCGTGCATATGATTTCCTCACTCTTCTACTCCATGCTCCAAGCTAACTGCCGATGGCCCAACCACTTCTACCCTCTCAGTGTCAGGAGGGGGCTGAGCAGCAAGGACAAGGGCGCGATTGTCGCGGACCTATACATCCTACGTGCTACATCTAATGCATTGTTTCAATAGTACTTACATAGACAAAAACACAGCAACTTATGCAGCGACTACTGCTGGAAAACTGCATGGCAAATACACACCTTTATCGGACAGGGAAGCTATCGCAAGCCCTCTTGTCAACACATGCACGGCTAAGGCTTCGGTTCATAGTGTCACTTCACATCAGCTGCCAGAATATCAGCTGCCAGAATATCAGCTGCCAGTATATCCGACCTCCCCCAAGCTGTCTTAAACGTAAACCTCTAATCCTCCACCCGTATGTGCGCATGTACATCGTGAATGCACTGTGCATGTACAAATTGCTCGACACAGTCAAAACACACGTCGGTATGGCTGGGCCTGCTTTGCCAGAGCCTTTCTGTTTGTTCACGGCCTGCCGGAACTTGGAAAGAAGGAACAGTCCGCAAGACCCTTGCCAAACGCCTTGTGAAGGAGCGCAGCTGTGAGCGGTGTCTTCAGCTCGATCTTGAAGCTCTTGTCGCTCATTACCTTTGTATGAAACGCGCGCGCGGCTTTCGAATCCTTGCCTTCAACTCTTATGATTGAATATGGACCAAGTGGCATGGACGATGCAAGGGCAGGTCTGGCCGACCTGGCACAGAGAGCTCTCATCTGCGAGAGCGCAGGCTGAGGGCAGGCCTTGTCTGCAGTCAAAGCATTGTACTCCTGCAAGCATCAAAGAAGGAGAACTGAGGAGCTTCAAACAGCGATCAAGACCTTCACGAACATGGCGATGTTCAAGCCGAATGCCCCAATGGCAGGGCCCACTGGTGGGGCTGGCGTGGCCTCGGCCCACCGCTCGTGTAAGTGGGGACTGATGAGCTTGGACCAACGCCGCTGCTTCTGCGCCGCTCAACTCTGAGTTCTCGGTTCCTTTTTGTTCCTCCCCGCGGAAGTGTTCTCCTCTCCTTTTGTGAGAAAAAGGTGCCCAGGCCCGAGAGGCCCCCGAGAGGCCCCCTTAGGCCTTAGGCGGCCCCCGCCTCGCAGCGCAGCTCTTCCTGTGCTCTCGACATCAGCTTTGCAAGCAGAGAGACGGTTTCACAGCGACGACCGCCCGCCGCACAGGCAGCCACGGTAGGAATGTATGTAACGATGTCGGGAGAAGTTTTGAAGCGCTCAGCAGCTTCAACAAGCCACAAAGACCACTTCCACTGCTGCGCACGGACGCATGCGCTCAACGCAGCACTCAGCGTGATGACTGTTGACAAGGACCTGCTGTTTGCCTCTGTGAAGAGCAAAAGACTTTGCTTCCACTTTGCTGCAGTGGCGCAAGCAGAGACGGCTGCTCCGAAGGAGGCGGCAGAGGGCTGGGAGAGGGCTGCAAGCATCTGAAGGGCTCTGCGCCAGCGACCGGCAAGGCCGCAAGCGCTCATTGCAACATTGTAGCTGACCACGTCCAACAGCATCGAGTTGCTTTCAAGATGGCGAAGCAGCTCGAGAACGACTTCCGACTTCTCTGCCCTGCCACACACGCTCATTGCAGCGTTGTACGTGACTACAGATGCTTTAACGGACCGGGAAGTCATTAGGTCAAGAATGCTAAGCGCACGCTGCCATTCCGAAGCCTTCTCACAAGTGCTGATCACTGCGTTAAAGGCTATGCTGTCGGTCCTGATGCGACTTGCCTCAAGCTCGCGCAACATAAGCATGGCCCCCTGCCAATCTCCAGCCCTCTCACAAGCACTTATCGTCGCGCTGTAAGAGGGCAGCGATGCAAGCAGTGACTGTTGAGTCAGGGACTTCAATACGAAGAATGCCAACTGCCAGCCGGCTCGCCGTTGACAGCTGATGAGACTGTTCAAGGTCACTTCGTTGGCTCTAAGCCTGCATGCAGTAGTCTGCAACAACGACACTGCCCGGCACCACCCACCACAAGCAGCCAAAGCCCCGACTGCAGCATTCAATGCAGTGATCGAACCATGCCTCGCATACATCTCGAAATGGTTCAGACACGAAAGACTACGCATCCACTGGTCGGCGTCCTCAGAAGCAGCAACGAGGGAAACGCAGGTGGCTTCGTCCCACCTTACTCGGCATGCTGCCATGGTGCTAAACAAATTCATGGCTGCAGGCCACTGGCCAGGGTTGGCCCTCTGACAAGCGTGGATGCCTGAGTTGAGCATGATCTGATTGACGAGGACGGCGAGGATGGCTGCTGAACGCAAAAGCTCCAGTGCCCGGGACCACTCGGAGCCCTTGGCACAGAAGCCGATCGCGGTCCCCAAAGCTGCCTCATCGTCGTCTGCGAGAGTCAAGGCAGCGGCCCAAGTCCCACAAGCGCTGCAAGCACTGGACGCCCCGCTGCTCAGCGCCTGCTTCCAGGTCTCGATGGCGGGCTCGTAGCTCCGCAGGCTCCGCAGGCTCCGCAGGCCCAGGCGACACTCTTCAAGACTCCGCTGCCACAGCAAAGCCTTCCGGCAGACGCTCTGGCTGATTTTGAGCGTTGTCGCGTCTCGCTTCATGTGGGCTTGCCCCATGTACTGCACTATGAAAAACGCCTGTCGCCAAGCGACTGCCTTTGCGCAGGCACTGCTGGTGGCATTGGTTGTTATCACGTCGAAGCTACGTTTCTTTCGCAGATCTGCCAAAATCTGCCAGGCACTGTGCCATCCCAAAGCACCGGCAACAGTGTTGTACACAATTTGTGTAGGCTGCATCCCGCGATTGGCAAGCATCTGAAGAAGAACCAAGGCCCTCCCCCACTCACTCGCGGCTTGCACGCATGCCCCCATTGTGCTACAGAAAGATATCACCACAGGGCACAGCCCCATCTTCTCCATGACGACCAGCAGGCACAAGGCCTGCTGCCATTTTCCAGTATTCTGGTAAGAACAGATAGCGGCATTAAAGGCTACTGCATCTGCTTGCAAGCCTCTGCGAAGATCCTGCTGCAAAGCTAGAGCTTCCCTCCACTGAAACACCGCGGCACATGCGCTGATTCCCAGGCTGTAGGTCTGCGCATCTGCCCGCAGTCGTAAAGTGCCTGCTGTCCTCACGCAAGTTACCGCTGCCTGCCACTTAGAGTTCCCGATTGCACTGCTTGCTGCGCTGAGCAGGATGATGTCTTTCTCCAAACCTTCCTGGCCTACTTGGTTCAGGAGACCAGCACATTCTTCCCATTGCTGCTTGCACGCTTGGATGAACGAAGTGAAAGTAACGATCCCAAGCTGCAAGCACTTCAGCTTAGTGTGTGCGAGTATGAGCAGCGCATGCCGCCACCGCTGACTGCCGATTGACTTCGCGCACGTGCTCTTTGTGATCTCGCCAAGCCTGCGGAGCTGCAGCTCGGCCAACAGGTCCAGGGTCACATGCCACTCCACCTGCCCTGCTCGCCCTGCTCGCCCTACTCTTCCGTCTCGCCCTTCTCGCCTCCGGCCGATCTTTGCCCCAGGCATGGGTGTGCGCGACACAGGACGGCATCTCGCCGACCGCCATTTTGCCAGGTCACGCCCTCGCAGCTCCGAGACATGGAGGGCTCGAACACACGGAAGGTTGCCCCACCAAAGAGAGAGCCGGGCTGAACAGATGTCTGAGCCCGTCTAGCAGCAACAGGCGGTGGAATGAAGAAGCTTCTGGCTTCTGCATCTTCCTGCCTCTACACGGTTTCCAAGAGTTGAGGGGCTCGCTTTCCCACCAGTGATCTTGGACAACTTCACCTGTGAAGAGAGTTCACAGCTAAGCCTCCAAGCGCTCCAAGGGGGGGCCCTTCCCGCCCTTAAGCTCCCGCCTGCGCGACCTCTGTCACAGCACGGAGCGAGGTGGCACTCCCTTTGGTCCTCTCCTGCCTTCCAACAGAAACCTCGGGCAGCGGCACCGGCTTCCCAGAATGACTGCTCTGGTATGATGAACATGCTCCCGCTATGTCGCGTTGCTCCCCCCGTAGGCTCTCGGCTCCCAGTGCCAGAGCGGCGCCTCCGACAACCAGTCCAAAGCCTGACACTGGAATGGAAGGACAACTTCCAAAAAAGGGATCCCCCCCCAAAATTGTTTTGTCAGCGGTGCTCGCATGTCACCTCGTGCCCCACTGCTTTCATTCCGAAGGCTGGCGCGTCCTGGGAGCAGCCCCAAAACAAGCACTCGGAGCTTCTGGCGACGGCGGGGGGGCGAACCTCGCAATGCCGGTGTTGCCGGCGCAGGCGCCGCTGTATTGGCCAGAAAGGCCCTCCTTGGAGTAGCAAAGAACTCACTCTGCTCAGCTCCTGGACAAGCCGAGCGGCTGCCCAAAGGAGCAGAGGGCCGTCGCCTGGGCGAATTCGCAGATACTGGGCCAGCGAAGGGAAGAGGGTGAGCTGAGTCGACGACAGCCGCGAGAACGGCTATCCACGACATTGCCGGGGCGAGGCACTCGCTTTGAGCCGTCGCCCTGCAACATGCCACGTCATGCGATGAGACTGGAGCCTGACCAGCACTCTCACGCAGCTTCTACGGCCCACCCTTCCCAGCAGCGCTTTTCCAGCCCTTGGCTACCCACTCGCTTCAAGCCATGCTTCCGCCGAAAGGACTTCGAAGCCTTTTCGGTCTGCCGATTGACCTGAGAGAAGCAAGCGCATGCTCGTTGTGAAGTCGTGGTCGAGTCGTGGTGCTGCGCACGGGAGAAAGTGAAGTAACCGGGCTCCCCGGCGCACGTCGAGGCTCACGCAGCTCCAGCGAGCGCTCTTAGGCGTTCTTCTTCTTCTTCTTGGCCATCTCGGCTGCATGGGCCTCCTTCTGCTCGTGGTGGTACTCGATGACGCGCTGGGCGTAGGCGGCCTTGGCCTCCTTTCCGGCCTCCATGCGCTTTCGGGTGATGGCCTGGGCGAACACCCGACGTAACATGCACCAGGCATTCTGACCGCCCCTGGACACCTTGAAGTAGCGCTTCCTCTGGAGAAGCTGGGGCGTAATGAGGCGCTGAATCTTGGGTGCCTGCGGGAGCGCGGGAACCGCACTCCACCGTCTGTGCCGTGACTGCTTCAAAAATTAACATCCACGGAGCATGTCAAGGCCTTGGTCTTCTTGCCCTCCTTGATCTCGCGGCGGACCACGAACTGCCTGACATCGTCCTGCAGGCTCCAGGCAGTGCAAAGTTTTTTGCAATCGCGCGAGACGGGAAGTCGACTCCTTCTTCTCCAAGCCGAACAGCTTTCGAATGTTGGAGGCCCTCTTTGGGCCAAGGCGGCGGGGCTTCTGGTCGTCAGTGAGGCCTGCGCGCGCTGCCCCCGAAACACATGGGAGCTCGGACAGGGAACTCGGACGACCGGCTCCTGGGATGTCCTCTGCGCCCTTCTTCACCAGCACCAGGTGCAGAACAGCCAGGTCCGGGCCCACGATGCAGCCTCCGAGTAGCTCACAGCCAGCAATTTGCCTCTCCTATACCAGGCCCTACCATCACAACGGCCATCACGACGGCCGGCCACCCATGCAACGGAAACCCCAGCGCCTCGAACCGACTTGCGCTTGCGGCAGCCGGAACGGCGCTCACGGTAGCAGGACATCCCCTTCTTGAAAAGGAGACGCACACGGTTGTTGCTCATCACGCCTCGGACAGCTCAAGCGGCAAGCATTTTCGGCCGGGGGGGATTTCCGACGTTTGAATCTGAAGCAGGTACCCTGCTTCATGGGGAAGCCCTGCTTGTCGTTGCCACCACCAATGCGAAAGACGTAACCTCAGGCGTAGACAAGCTGCTTCGGCAAAGACTGCTTGCGTAAGGGCCAACCTACGATAAACTCAGTTAGCCGCCCTTGAACTCATCTCCCAAAGAGTCGCCCGAAACCTCGCTGGCCATGCGCTTGTCGAAGAGCGGGTACCTGAACGCACACTGCAGAGGCGCTTCGATGCAAGAAGTTGCAAGGCAGATGTTCCAAAAATACACATAGAAAAACCTCCTCGGTTGACAACTAGATACAGCTTCTTGTCGTCGTCGATCTCTACCAGCTTCTGCATCCCCGTCGTGGGATTCGAGATGTTGAGCTTCATGGCAACGATCAGCGATACGAAGGAGCGGAAGGGACGGCACAGGGAGCAGGTCTTGGCTATCCGGCCTGTGGCTTAAATCGCTGGGCGCGACTTGAGCAAAGGACGATGGCGACATGACAGCCCATTTTGAATCGGCGTAGCCTGTCGTTGCACGAACTCGCAGACCCCGCTCCATGTCGCCGTTTTTTCTGAACCGAGCGGTACGAAGGAGCGTGCATTAGCTCGAGTCGTCGCGCGGGCGGGCGGGCGGGCTGTGGAGCCTCTGCAGCTTGCGGCAGCTCCTGGCGCAGACTCCTCGCGGTGCTCTCCCCGGCGCTCGAAGCTCGGCTCGGCTTTTGGGCTCAATGCGTTCCCCCACAACGCACAGTCGATTGCCGTGCAGATTGGCCGGATGTCGCAAGATTCAGGCCAGGGATGGGACCCAGAGTCTACTAAAGACCGCTTCAGGTAGCGGCTCCCAAATCTTGCTGCTCTCCCACCTGTCGCCTGCTCGCACTGCTCAGTGCCCTTACCCAAGCCCACTTCAACAGCTCAAGCTGAGCCGGCGATTCAAGGTGTGAGCTTCGGATGCGTGCAAGCTTGCAGCCAAAACTGGAAATCGATGGAAAAACTCCAGTGGAGATGAAAGGCTCCCTTGTCAACACTTCTAGCGCTCATCTCCACCGTTGTTCTTGCAATTTGTACAGTTGCCCTGCGCGACCTCTGGAAGCCGCTCTGCAAAGCGCAGAGGCCAAGGACACTACAGATTACGAGTGTCCCGCAGTGGGCAGTTAAATCGACATTGCTCTGTTGACAAAACTGCTGCAGAGACGCTTCGTGGCAAGCAATCGAGTACAGGGTATGCAGCGTCAAGAGACAAAAGGTAAGGCCTTCCGAAGCCCAAAACATGAACACTTTGCTGCCTCTATTCTTTTCATGCTGCCAGAGGATCGGACTTTTCATCGACGCCACTACCTCTGCCAACGCGCTTGCAGCAGCCACACTGGGAGTTGAAGCCCTGTGATGGAACACGGAAGATGATGGGGGCTCGCTCATACTACCCGTATGTGCCCGTCGTGGCTGTGAAATCCCGGTGCAAAGCCTCTCAAAACCAAGCAGAGATCTTGCCGTTGGGTCCGAGGCACGGTGCAAACAACGGCGGCTTGGAAAATGTTGGCGCAGCATGTGCGTCACCGCCCCTTTCGTGCACGAATTTGGAGGCCCCTGTGAGCCCCGTGGATAAAGGCTCTGCCCAACCAGGACATGCTCCTCTGCCCCTAGGCCCTAGGTGCTCCTCGCTGGAGCTGGCGAGGGAGGAATGATTACACGACTTGCAGTGATGCACGCAGGAGGCGATCGGCCAGTCTCAGGGCAGTCGAGTCGACTCAGCAGACGCTGAGCTCCAGCCGCTGCCAACCTCTCAGCTTCGCGAGCACGGCTTGCCGCAATGCCGGGCTTGGCCGGCAGCGGCCTGAAGTCGGAAGATATTTTTTGTTCTGTAGCAGCTCTGCCCTCCGAACAGATTTTTTGTACGCTTGAGAGGGCCAAGCAGCAGAAGAAGCTGACGGAGGATGCTGACGACGTCTGGCGAAGCACTTTCACGATGTGGTCCACGAGAGCGTCGAAGAGCTTCGAACCAGGCTCGCATGGAAGAAATGTCTGCCAGGGGGCTGCCGGCAAGGGAAGCATGGCTTGCTTGCAGCATCTTGCAGCGTGCCTCCCCCTGTGCCACAGAGACGGCGTTGAGGAGCGACAAGCTGCCACCGCGTCCCGCGAGGCAGTGCCACAGTAGCTCGTGCAAGGCTCCTGCAGGCAGCGGCAACAGCGCCCCCGAAGAACAAGAAAGATAAAGGAGCCGAGGACGTCTCCGCACCCCAATTGCAGGAGAAGAGACAACAGGTCCAGGGGGCTGCGCTTCGCTATTCTTCGCTTCGCTATTCTTCGCTCAGTGCCACGCCCCTCTCCTCGGAGCTCGGCTCGAGCCTCCTTGGGGAGGCGGCGTCCCACATCCTAGGGAATGGCAAAGGCGCGAGCTCTGTAGCGAACTCTGCACCGCTCTTCTCTCTCTCCAGGCCCTCGCACCCTCTGCGCGACCGCGCGCGCTCTGGCTCTCGTCTTAGACTGAGCTGGTTCGCCGGCGTTGCTCTGCTAAGCGGTTTCTGCAGGTGTGGTGGGCGTACAGCGCAAATGCGTCAAAGGTAGATTCGTTTTTCGCGATTTACTCTTGTCGGCGCAGTTCTCCACAGTTTGAATTCGCGTTTCGTTCTCGGCCCCGGCTGATTTCCTATAGCATGAATTTGCGCGCGCGCGCGCGCGCGCGCGTGTAAAGTTGAGAAGCGTATATGTGCAAAAGGTGTGTTGTCAGAGTAAAGCTTAAAAGCTTATAAAAGCGTAAAAGCGTGGTAAGTAAAGGGCGTTGCTTTCGGCGTAAAAGCCTCAAAACAACGCGCAACAGGAAAGTCGTTTCTTCGCTTTTCGCTGTTTTTGCCCGAGCTCTGAACCTCGAGAAGCCGTAGCCTAAGCCCTTCTTTAACCCTAAAGGGCCTAAACCCCTGACCCGGCTTCCGATTGTGCACCACGGCATCACGAAGAATGACCTGGCCCCGGGCCGGGCTCGAGGCTTCAGGATGTAACGGATTAACGGCTCCAGGGCCTAACCAGAGGCTTATCTTCGGGGCTTGAAGGCTTTTCAAGGGGGTGCGTTTCAAGCGTTCACGTTGATGTTGTTTGCTTTTTTGTCTCTTTCGTGTCCTAAACTCAGGTGTTGGCCTGGTGCGCCTGTGTTTTATGCGACTTCACTCGGTTTCGCCGATGTTTTTGCTGTTTCTGGTTCCTTGAGTCTTTAGGTCTTGCCTAACTTTCGCTGTTTGGACTCGTTCAAAGAAGAGCATCCAGGGCCCAACCATGATTCGTCCATGGTCTACTCCGTTCTGAGAAGACAGCATCCATGGCCCAACCATGATGACGTCTATGGTCTCATCCGTTCTGAGAAGAGTGAGAGGAGAGCATCCATGGCCCAACCTTGATGATGTCCCCGTTTAATCCGCTCTGAGAAGACAGCATCCATGGCCCGAGCACTGATGGGGTCCATGGTCTAATCCATTCTGAGAAGAGAGGGGTTCACGGTTATGGGAGAAGGTTTCAGGCTTGTCCACTTCTGCCAAATTTTGGATTCTGGCTGAGCTCCACAGAAGCCGCTGCAGTTGTGCGTGCTTCAGGGCTCTTCGAATGCTCTTCGTTTAACTATCTACTTGTACCCTGTTCGGCTTTGGTTCGTTTCGTTGCTTCTAGAATTTTGCCGTGTTCGCTCGGAGGCTTTACTCGTTCGCAGTGGACTGTTTTGCCATCTTCCATTTTTTGCCACTTTACAGCGAGCTGCGGTAGTGCACCATATCATAAATGAATTTAAATTTCAACCATTTGCACAATTTTGCGCGCCATGCTCACGTCGGTTTTGAGACCTTTCTCAGATGTTGTTTCCGCGACCCAGAGCTGACTAAGGGTGCCAGGCTTCAGGGTTGAGTGGAAGGTCGCAGGATGTTTGGGGGATCAGGCTTCAGTTCGGGATGCAGGCAGGGTCAGGCAGGACAGGTGGGGGTACACTGTAGAGCACAGCCTTGAAAGCTTCTGGGAGGCACCCAACTATCATGTTATGTCCTTCGGCATGTTGTTTCGTGCATTGCCCCCACGGAGGCTTTCAAACCGGACGAGGCACACAGACATCCCCACAACAGTACAGCTGAGCCCATCTATCAAAATGATGGATGGGGATGCGCCTCGGCGCGAGTTAGGAGGTAACTCCTCCTGACTCTAACCCCTAGCAAAGCAAAGTCTTGGTGTCACTCTCTCTCTCTCTCTCTTGCTTGGGGCTTTCCGAGATCTTCAGCAGAAGCGCAAGCAGGAGCTCCAACGGCAAGTCTTCCTTGGCCCGGACCAAATCCGTCAGGAGAATGCCTGACAGCATGCGTGCATGGCTCAACACAAGCAGGGAGAGACCCGGTCATCGCCGGCTGCGCCTTCCATGATCATGTCCCCCAGGCTCGGAGTTTGCGTCTCACGGAGGGTTGAGCTTTGAGCCACCTCCCGCAATGCCTCTTGACATCTGCTCCACCGCCAAGTCTTCACCTCGCAACTCTTGCGTTGCCCCTATTTCTCTCTTCAGCAACTCTGTGTGGTACTGTGGGGTTCTCAGGTTACACGAAGAGTCACGGTGGCAGTCTCTGAGTGGTCTCCTGGTGGCCGTGGTCGTCGTGGTCGTCGTGGTGTTTTATCACTGTTTGGGGATCTACACCGGCACGATCTGAAACCCAGCCTTGCACTCGGACACCAAATGTTCCATCCAGCTCTGCCAGAACAGCAGAATATCCACCACCCCGTCACCATCACAGGTGTCCAATATGCGCGAGGCCGCTATGAGCCTGCGCAGAAAAGCACACGGCTCAACATGCTGATTCTGATGCACCCCCTACACGAAGGCATGTCAAGAGTTCACGGCTGGGCCAACAAAGCCATAGCATGTTTGAGACCGTTTGGACTCTAGACCATAGTTCAGACTTCTAGACTCTAACTCTAACAAGCTCCTGGCAGGTTGGCAAGCATACACTCTCCGAGTGGAAGCGGCATGTCGGAAAACGCGTGCTGCACAGCTGCCGGGGCAAAATTCATGCCCTTCAGCACGAGCCAAGTTAAAGGCCGAGCAGTGTTCTGCCGAACTTGGAGTACGGAAGAGATCAAGACGGTGAAAAAAGGACGTCATTCTATCACCGAGGCCTGTGATATTCGAGACTTCAGATGTTCCTACAACGCCCACAAAATATCAAGTACAAACCGTACAGAAGGCATAGGTCCATAGGTTTTCGACTTTTCATCATCACCGGCAAAAATCAGAATCATCACGATCTGACGTACATCAAACCGTCCCCGAGCCTCCTAACGTCGAAATCAAGCAGATGGCGTGCCACGGCAGGTCGAAGCAGCTGCGCCAGCAAACTAGGGAAGCGCTTCCCGTTGGCGCACGAAGC